CGTGTGTGTGCGTGTGTATGTGTGTGTATGTGTGTGTGTATGTGTGTGTGTGTGTGTGTGTGTGTGAGAGTGTGAGTGTGTGTGTGTGTATGTGTGTGTGTGTGTGTGTGTCTAGGGCCGCGTATGTCAGAAACATTCTTGTTCACATTTGTGGTTATCGCGTCTGTTGTCATCAGCAGATATCGATAATTTGATGGGTCCCGATTAACACACTATCGTTGTACTGAGATAGCAACAAACAATAGAAGATGACTCAAGAAAGGTATTCTTAACAACTGATTAATTATCCATTTGACACAAAAACTTTTGGCTTTTTTAAAAGTCTCAATGCTATAGTATGATGGTTAGGCTTTTTATCTTGCAGGCAGAAGAAATGAGTTTCATTTCCATATTACAAAACGACAGCCCAGTATGTAACTCGAACTGTTAAAAAAAGACCAGTCTCAATAATATACTATAGTATAATGATTTGGGTTTTTGTCTTGCAGGCAGAAGAAATGAGTTTCATGTCCATATTATTACGAAGCGATAGCCCAGTGTGAAACTCTGTCACGCCTCACTTTCAAAATGGCGTATGACGTAGTCTCGCACTAATCACTAAGCGGTCGGAATGCAGTTTCTGGGACACTTGGATCGAGGTAAAGGCCTTGAACATCTTTTCTTTTGCTGCTAAAATTAAAAGCAAATGAGGCAGTGGCATACCCAAAGCTTGGGGAACTTTAACAGATGGGTGACGGTAAAAGATCAGGATTGTTATAGTTTCTTCGAGAGCCCCGGAGCAAAGAAATGAATGGCAATGATGATCGCCGATGTCTGACTTAGATCTGGCTCGTGTTGATTGATTGAATGATTGATTGATACCAACTCATTCTGAAAGACGGCACAAATGCAGTCAGCCCCCTAAACTGTCAAAATTAGTGTTGGCAAAGGCGTAGAACATGTTCAATCGTTTTGGCAAAAGTATTATGCTCTTACTCAGTTGCCCAGAAATTGATATCAGAACAAATTACTGTAAAATGATAATACAAAAAGACCTATTCAATTTTATCTTGGATTTAACCAAGACAAGTGTGTGGTTGGCAGGTGCTCTTGTGTGGTTTGTTCCTTCTTTTCTGTCAAACATATATTGTCCTTATCTCGCCTCCTTCTTTTCTTTGTATTTTATTGTCTCGTAACACCTCTAACCTTCGGCTCATTTTTTGTGTGCTGAAAACTAAGAATGACTCTCAAAACACATTATACCATACAATCAGAGCGGTTCATCAAGTACAAAAATATGTAGAAGATGCCTAATAGAGGCTATCACAGCTTGAACTCTTGCTGGTTTTTATAACAACTGCTCCAACTTACACGCAAACAACGCAAACATTACATCAATATCCAATACTACTTGAAAAATTAGTAGCTAAAATAATATATTGCCATGACAGTAATTAAAGCATGCTAGAAAAAAAAAGTTACGTAGGAAAATAAAGTACAGAGGAGTCCGTTTAAACCGATCACGCTTAATCCGAAAACTGCGATAAACCAAAAGAAAATAAAATCCAGGGTTTTTTCCTTCTCTTTGAGCAATGCTTTTAAGCGAAAAACCCGGATAAAATTCGACGGTCCCACAGATTTTGGTTTAAACAGATTCCACTTAACACATCTTCAAGTTCTAATTGTTATTTACACAATTATAATTGTAAACTCTGTATAGAAATATATATATATATATATAGTGAGCTTATTGAACCTCGTTAGTTATATGCCATGCACATACATGTACTCACGAGCACGTAATGAACACACATACGATCGTACGTCATATAATATCTCTTAGTGCACACGTATACATCACACGCACGAGCGCTTAC